GAGGCCCTGGAGGTCCTTGGGTGAGGAGGCCCTGGAAGCTAGATCTCATGCTTCCCTAACCATTAGGTTACCGAGACAAAAGGCAGGAGGGACTATCTCCTCCTCCAGCAACAAAAACCCATCGTTTCTTCTGCAACTAAAATTTCAGTACTAACTTGGGGTTATGCTTGTACTTGGGTGATGCAATTCCACCACAGCTGCCTACACAACCAGAGCACAGCATTCTAAATGTGCTCAGAAGGGAAGCACATAGTGATTTCGGCTATATAATCCTGTAGCAAGTCTGCAGCCAAGGGGGAAGCTGTGATAGCCGCTGCCCAAACCTTCCCTTGAATCGGGCCTATCCTGGGTCCCCTCAGTCACAGTCCTATGCCCCAAGCCAGCAGGCCCTCTCAGCCTGTCTGTACCTCTGCTGGGCACCTGTCACCTTAAGGGCTCCATGCATAGCTCCATACCTCCCCTACACCATACCCAAACCTCACAGGTGTTCTCTATGATGTTGTCTATTCACACACTCAACCCCCTTGGGCCTTCAGACCCCCTGGTCTCTTACACAGTCTCCTCCTGGACTCTCAGGCCTCTAGTCCTGCATGCAGTCCCTTCTCTGGGCTCCTGGACCCCTGGTCCTGCATACAACCCCTTGCCTAGGTTCCTGGACCCCTGGTCCTGCGCACAATCCCCTCTCTGGGCTCCCAGACCCTGGTCTTGCACACCGCTCCTTCTCTGAGCTCAGGGACCCTCTGGTCTGGCTTAGCCCTTCTCTGGGCACCAGGACCCTCTGTGGAGTCCAGGTAAAACAAAGGCCACTTGTCTATAAAAACTCAGTCCTTCTCTGCCCAGGGGCCTTGCCTCTGCTCCCAGGCCTACAGAGTTGGCTATGTAAGTTCCAGTCCTTTAAGGAGCCCTGATGCCCAGAGCTCCTCATCCTGTGGCTGCCAGGGAGAGACTGCCTGACTGGCTCAGGCTCTGGTCTTATATAGCTCTAGCCTGAGCCCTCTTCCGGTCAGGTCAGCCTCTCATTAGCTTCTGTACCATTGGCAAGCAGCCTCACAAGCTGTTGCTCCTTTAAAGGAGCAGGCACACCCAACTGCCCTGCTACAAATCCAAATAGTTCATAAATGCCAAAAATTGCAGTATTCCAGTTCCTCTTAAGCAGATAAAGGGGATAAAGGAGTTAACTTTAATGCAATGGTTCTCAGCCATTTTGGACTCAAGGCACACAACATTGGACTTGAGGGACCCCTCCATAAACTTTTTTGAATTGAGTGGCACCCAACTGCAAAAACTTATGTATATATTATGATGTTTATCTCCTTACAGAGAGACCAGGCAATGGGAAGTGGGAGGATCAGCCAGGCAGGGACAAGCCTGAGCCTGTACTTATCTACTTATCTCCTCCCTGGTTGAGAAACCCTGCCAATGTTTTCTTTCACCAATTCTGAAGTATCATGATTTTTCTTTACTCTGACTATATACGTCATTCACTAACTTTATATCCATTTCAGGACTTGTCTATTACAGATAAATCTCTGTAAGCATTATTAAAATAAACTTGATCCACTCAAGTTTTATTCCAGGATTCAAATCTTTCCTCATCTGCCTACTCCCCAACATCTTTACAGCTAGGAGAACCATTCAAAAGATAAAGAGATAATGCCAAATTCATATCACCCAACCATACTTGATGAACTCTACTGCAGCATTGTTTAATCATTTTCTAATATGCCCCTACAGTTGAAAAAATCCAATCAATATTTGATAGTCATTATTTTAATTTCTCATTGATGAAGGTCTGTTATTTTGCAATCTCTCTTAGGTTGCTTTTGACTAATCAGTTTTGAGCTAGTTGGATCTTGCCTGGCCTTATATGCATGTTTAAAATGTATTTTAATATTTTGTATAGATTCTCAAATCTTTTTTTTAATTATAGCTGACAGCATGAGGGAGGTTATCTGATATTTCCCATGCTGTCAGCTGTTCCTAACTTTGCCAAACTTTAACCATCCTGACACATGTAATGACACATATTTATTCATTTTAGAGCATTTCAATCCAAACTACAAGATTTCTGAGAAAAAGCCTACGGAAAAATACATTTTGCTTAAAAATAATTCTGACAGTCTTTTCTTTGGAAAATCCTATTCCTTCTCTGCTTTTAGAAATGAGGACATAAAACTTGGAAGGGAGGTGTGTCCAGGATGTTGCTTTTGCTGTGAAACCCACCCTGATTTTGCTGAGCTGTGCCATTTACATGCCCTCAGAAGAGGCTTTTTGGATTTTCTTGTTCTCTTGTGGGGTTACATGAAGAGTAGAGGGTGTTGCATTTCCATATCTCTGGTATCTGGGTTCTTGGGAACTTCTGCTTCCAGCATATAGATATTAGAATGTCTCCAGAGAGAAAGTACACCTTCTCTATGATTAGGCACAGTCTATTCCTTAGTAGCACCATTTCCAGAGAACCCAGTTTCACAGTGGTGGTATTATACTGACCTCCATTATTATTACTGAAAAGATGAAAACTTTTCAGCACAAGAGACACAATACTACAGAGCAAAGTGACACCCCATTGATTTTCGTCTCATTATCTAATGTTAGTCTGTAGACAATTCTGAATCAGCTTTGATATATTGCTTTTATTTAGTAAAGTCTACAAAGCAAACCCATGAAATTAAGTTATTTTTATAAGTAAACTTTAGTTTGATATGATGAAAAGCTCCCCATTAACTCCACTTCTTGTCAGAAGGGAAGATGTTTGGAGACTATCATTGTGATATTAGTCGCATGTCAGACAACAAAGCTGTAAAACTGTAATATACTTGATCTCATGCAGTCCTCAAAAACAGGAATAACTATTTCCTAACTACCTGTTAAAATGTGAGTGGTGGTAGCAGAGTGGTGGTAGCAAAGTGTCTTTAAACTGAAAGTTTTAAAATATATTTTCTATTCTTGTTCATGATGGTTCAAATAAAGTTAATTAAACATTATAAGTGGCTTATGGATACATGCTTATCTGTAATTATGCCTCTCCAAACTGATGCACACCATAGATGTAAGAGCTATTTACTTGCCAATTTAAAGAACAATGAACATGAGTTTGGCATTTGGACAAAATATTGCAGTGCTGTTTGTATGAAATGCAGGTGTCACTTCTGAACATGAGAGTAACTATAACCATAGAATCATAGAATCAAAGAAAATTAGGTTTGGAAGGAACCTCAAGAGGTCATGTAGTCCAACTCCTTGTTCAAAGCAGGACCAACCTCAACTACACCATCCCAGCCAAGGCTTTGTCTGCCTGGATCTTAAAAACCTCCAAGGATGGAGACTCCACAACCCCTCTGGGTAGCCTGTTTCAGTGCTTTACTACCCTCCTCCTGAGAAAGTTTTTCTTAATATAGAACCTAGACTTCCCTTGCTGCAACTAGAGTCCATCACTCCTTGTTCTGTCCTCTGACACCGCTGACAACAGTCTAGCTCCATCCTCTTTGGAACCACCCTTCAGGTAGTTGAAGACTGCTATATAGAGTGGAAGGGAAGACCAGGCCCGAGGGTGGGGAGAAGGTGGCCTTCCATGGCAGGGGGAGCAGCGGTCCTGGGCCAACTCAGCGGCGGCGGGGAACAGGAGGAGCAGGCTCGGAGCCAATGGGGGAGAGAAAGCAGGGGAGTGGGTCCAGGCCTGAGGGGGGGAGGAGGCCTGAGCCGGGGGAGAAACCAGCCTGCTGTGGCAGTGGGGGGGAGCAGCGGCCCCGGCCCAACGTGGTATCAGCTGGGGGAGGGGAGGAGAGAGCCTCTTCCCCACTTGGGCCCAGGCACACTCCTCCCCCAGCCCCCCTCCACCACCCATCAGCTCCAAGCCCACTCCTCCCATTTCCCCGCCGCTGCTGACACTGTGGTGCACCCACTAGTCCCCCAACCCACCTCGGGCCCACTTCTGCCCCCACCGCCACTGTGTCCTCCAGGGTCAGGCCCTGCAGGCAGCAACGAAAGAAGCAGGGAGTCCATGTGTGGCTGGTTTTTGCCCCACATTATTCTCCAGTATTCCTGAGCTACTAAGTATTTATAGGAGTTGTGGTTTTGTCTCATTTCATTACTAAAACCTAAAGCCCCATATTGTTATTACATTTTTTTACTTCCTGTGGAATTCAGCTTCAAGATTTCAATAGTATGGTGAGTTTGGAAGGATGTGAGAAGGGAAATTCCAGAACAGAAAGAAGAACTTGGCCTGCTGTGAGAGAGAAGCAATGACATTTAGCCCTGGAGTATTATAACTGAACAGGAATATTTATAAAAAGAAAAAATGGTAAAGATTTTTCAGGGGATTTAAGTGATGATATCTGTAAAGCCAAAAAAAGCTGTAGGACTATAATTGGTTTTTTTCTGTGACACAAGATGTAAGCTATTTTTTTTTTAATAAGATGGGCATAATGAGCTTATATAATATGTAAGTTTGTATATCACTAAAAACACCAATACTATGAGCTGCATGCAAGATCCTAGGCATATTAATGCCTGCCTAGTGCCACAGGAATAATACAATATTCTACACAACCATAAAATATTTCAAGAAATATATTCCAAGAAAATGTAACTTGTGTGTTTAGGCTAAGAGTTCTGGGCACCTCATTCCCATTAAAATTAAGGGGGATGGGTTGTTCTAAAACATCTCTGCATTGATTGTAAGTGTTGTTCTTCAAGAGGTTCTTGTATAAAAGTGGCTCTGTATGTCTCCACGTTTACTGTTACTGAATGAGTCCCATAACAAATGGTTCTTTTTTAATAGTCACAATTGTACCAGATTTTCCCCTACTTTTATACCAACATAAGTCAGAAAAATCCTGCAGACCACTTTAGGCCTCTAGTTGTATTTGTGCAATTCTCTTATCTTTAATGGGTTTCCACATATATAATGAAATGGAACTTAGGGCAATTTTGGTAATGCATATGAAGGCACAATCCAGAGCACTCTTTTACCTTTGTGGCAGGAAAGCAGTAAAACTTACTTTTGTCAGAGAGTAAACACATATGGTACTGGGTCCTGATCCAAAGTCCACTGGTGTCAGTAAGAGCATTCCAGACCCCTGGTGAGGAAAAGGTTTACACAGTTGCATTTTAGAGCAGAACCATCCTCTAACCTCTGAATTATGCTTTTCTTTATTAAAAACTTGTTTCTGCTCTGTGGGTTAGATTGCTTATGAAAAATAAAGTTTCTAAAGTTAAGAATGTCCAATTCATATTTGTGATCTGTTAAATCTAATTCACAGTGCTGTCCCAATCCTCTGAGAGTATCTGATACTGTACAGCTCTCAAGGCAGCTTGCCACTAGTTGTTTTCTTTCACCTTTTCATTCAACTAATACTGCAAAAGGAGGAAGGTGATGAGATCCCTGAGGAATCTCTTGCTGTTTACTGTAAATGGCATGATCTAGTTGTTTGTTTTAGCAGTGAAGCGCTAACATGACTAATCATGATAAAGAAACCGTTTACACAGGACTGAACTCACTGAAAGGGTTTGTCCTACATAGGACGCGTTTTGACACAGTGAATCAGATTAATTTCTTCTTTGAATCCAAATGTAGTTAAGTTATACAAGCGATAAATTCAACCCGTCTTGACAAATGTGATGTTTTTAGCCACAGAATTTGTCATGCTAATGTACACGTCAGCCTACAGTATGTGAGCCTGGTAAAGCATGCTGAATTTCAAAAGCAGTTGGATTTGTAAAATCTCTTGGAAAGGTAATTGTGATTGTTTAGTTCCTTGTATTCAAAATATAACTGGAGCTCATCTCTGTGTATAAATTAGACACTCACAGTGGCTCAGGGTGCTAGTGGCTATCAGCAGGGTCATTCTTATAAAACAGAAGAGGCAAATCTTTCCATGAATGGTCAGGTTTTGCATACCATACACCTGAAGTAGGGAATATTTTAAAGTGAAGTGTAACAGAAACAGCTCCAGTCCCTGTTCCAGCCTGAGGAATGCTGTTGGGATGGGGTTGTACGGCCACCGGAGTAGGCAGAGGAGAGGTCCATGTGTGGTTTGGAGTGAAAAGAGCCAAACCCCATCTGCATATGGTCACATGCAGAGGGATCGAGCCTTCATTGGTCTGCAGGATTTCTGGCGGACTGGAAATAAGGAGCCAGCACACTCAGAACCCCCAGAGAGAAGGGAACACAGGGTGGGCTGAGAATGCTGTGCAAACCGCGTGGAGATGTGGAGCTGGGATCCCACAGCAGCATCCCAGGGACCCAGTGGAGTGCTCCCAGGAAGGCTTGGCAGTGGACTAGTGAGAGATCTGGAGCGAGTGAAGAGGAGTTCAACCAGCAGAAAGGACAGTGAGGTTTCCATGAGGGTAATGAGTTAAGTGTGTGACCACAGACTGTTGATAAAATGTTGATGTGATCATACAAGTGTGGAGCTTCACGTTGATGAGTGAAAAAAGGAAAATGAATGGAATTTGTATAAGATATAGACACTGATAGGAGTGAGGTGGAATTAATTGATCTCCTATGAGCCCATGAGATCCATTAATGATTAGGGAGCCCGTTAATTAATTGCTACTCTAGGGATTAAAAGAGACCGTGGAATTCATTGATAACTGATTACTCTTTCAAGAATTGAGAGAGACTGTGGAATTCGTTGATAATTGACTACTCTTTCATGAATTAAGAGAGACTACGGAATTCGGTGATAATTAATTACCCTCACCTGAATTAAGAGAGACAGCAGAATTCATTGATGATTGGCCCCTCTCCCATGAATCAGGAGAGACTATTAAATTCATTGATAATTAATTGATCTTTTATGACATTGTGAAATGAAGTAGCTGATGGCCAGCATTCCTGACTAGACCAAGAATTGATTGTGTTATACCAGGAAAGGCTCAAAGGAGACGTTAGATTGGGAGCCTGTAAGGGAGGATATGAAAGTGAGTGTCTCTGAGCATGTGAATAGTGGCTGGATAAAAAGGGGCCAACTGGCAGTGACTGCCTGAGGGGTACAGGAGTCTGAGTTAAGGCCACAGATTTGGTCTATGTGGCCATAAATGGTAAAGAGCAGGGTATAGGGGTGGGAAGAGCCCTGAGAAGAGGATGGCCTTCAGTCAGGCAGATCTTTGCTCTTTGGACAACTAACCTCCCTTTAATTTTCTTAACAACAAGGTGTGGCAGGTGAGAATGAAGAGAAGTGGAGGCAGAGACCCAGTAGACCCGGACAAGAGAGGCGGTCCCTACTGTACCCTGCTACATGGAGGGGTCTGAGTCGAGCAAAAATTGGGAAGCACAGCTGTGCCTCACCTGTTCAAAACAGAAGCCCTCCTACTGTCCCTAAGTCATAGGAACAAAGCTTTCCCCTACTTTCCTCTTTCCCCTTGGACAGTAGGGTTGAAACTGGATTGAAGCTGCCTTAGTGTGTATTGATTACTGCATTGAAGCCATGCAAAAACAGTGACACTAACAATGGAGAAAAATAGTTTAAGAAGGCAAAAACCACATAGAAATGCCATTGCTTTCCAGACTGGATAGCTAACACATGACAAGTCATCACTAGTTCTGGAATGTGAGACATTAGATAAAGAATCTTATAAAATGTATTAGTCAAATGACCAAGTTTTTATAATTTATCCATTATCCAGTGCTAAGTCTTAAGTGATGCTAGGCTGTGTGAGTGTGAATATGACAGGGTGCCTTGTGTTTGTGCCTGAAAGAAGGGTGTCTGTGCCCAAAAGCTTCCAAAAAACAATTCTTCCAACTATTTAATTGGTCTAATAAAAGATAGCACATTTACCCAAAAAACCTTGTCTGCCTATATCCTTAGACCAACACAGCTACAAGGAAAACTCCTCTGCCAAACCTCCAATTTGGAGGCACCCTTTTATATTTATTTAAAGAGTGGATAAGAGTCCCAAGGAATTGTGGTGCAAGAATTGTAGTCTGAATCGGAATCAAATGAGAATCAGAAACCTGCTTAATTACTCTCTAGAAAACTAATTGACCCAATAAAAGATATCACAAAAGAGCCTTGCCATCACAGCTACAACAGTCAAACCCTTCTAGAACATTATACAAATCCATTTTAAGCTGACAAATAAACATTATGATTATGGGCTGGCAACCTACGGTCCATAGGCTGGATCTGGCCTGAAAAGCCACGGGATTCAGAAAGCAGACATGGGGCTTCAACAGTGTTTGACAATGGGAGGCTTCAGCAGCAGTCATTTTCCTGTGCCACTGCAGATAGAAACACTGATTGTGGGCACTTTCTCTATGCTACTAGGGGGAAAAGCAGTAGCAGCAGGTACTTTTCCCATGTTGCCATGGAAAAAGGTGACAGTGGTGGCACCTTCCCTTTTGCTGCTGTGGAAAAAAGTGGTGGCAGCAGCAGCACGCTAGTGCCTGTGCTTCTGCCTCAGACTCAAAGCTGGGTCACATCAGCCTGTAGCCTAAAAAAGTTGCTGACCACTGGTTATGATTATTACACTGGAACATCTGGCCTCCTAAGTCACACAAGTCAAAGATCTCAATTCTGCACCAGGCTCATAACTTCTATTTAAGCTACAGCATCTCTCTTAGAAAGGCAACCAGTCTTGATTTACAGAGACTCCATCATTGTACCACTGTTAATTACACTCATGGTTAAAAATATGAGCCTTACACCCAGTTTGAATTTGTCTGGTTTTAGTTTCCAAGAACTGAGCCTTGTTATGTCTGTTTTTACTACATTAAAAAAGCCAAGTATTATAGAAAATCTCTTCTCTATGTAGGTTCTTGTACATCATAATCGAGCCACCTCTTATCTTTCTCTTCAGTTAACTTAAAGACACTCATTCTACTTTCAGCATAAGGCATGTTTTTCAGGCCTTGAATAATTATCAAAACTCTTCTCTAAAATTAGAAAAGATTGAACTCTCACTTTTAACCTTACTTCCCAAAGCCAGTTTATAGGGTGACTAAGTAACACAGAGAACAATTGTGAATAATTTAAGAAAAACTCCAGATAGACAATTGGTAAAGGTCATAATTTCCCTGATCCTATGAGTCAAATTAGTTCTACCTGTCTAGCCAGGAAGAAGGGTGAAAGGTACAGGGTGTACTGCTCTTCACTGGGAAGCAGAGATGAAAACTGTTAACACTGGAATCTGAAACCCTAACTCTAGGGTTTCCACCTTAGATTTGTTGTTAAAGTGACTTTAGTGTGATCTGCATTTAAAATAATCCCTCTTAGAGGTTTAAATATTTATTCTATGTTATTAGAATGTCTTTTTCACTGACAATAAGAACAAATTATAGTTCACACTTGCATAGTTTCCTCAGATGAAACAAAGTTCTCAAAATATTCTATGCTCAAAAATGAACTAATTTTCACAACTCACCTACAAAGCAGGCAGACTTTACTGAAGTCACAAACTCTTTTGGACAGACTATTTCCTTCCATTATTTTAAACAAGCACCACCCCTGGGATAGTGACAATGCTAGATCCCACTTCACAAACGGGGGAAACTATGGCAGTGGTTATGTGTACCCTGACCTGCTACTTACGACAAAAAGTATAACCCCAAGACTCACTTGACCATGGTTCCTGGAACCACTGAAGACCTGAAAATGGAGAAAGAATAGCGGTACCCATAGGCTCTGCTATCTATCTTGTAAATAGCAGACTGTTTAGGTGTCTTTAACTTCCATGGATCTGGGTCCAGGCTGTTTTGTCTTAGCATCTTTTGTAGCATTTCATGAGTACAGTCAGAAGGCTAGGAAAAGAAAATTTGGATAGGTTGATTTTTGCAAATTTGGATCAAACCCAATTCCCTATGGTTTCAGCTGCACTGGGGTTTCTACTCAAACTGATATATCTCTACTCTACTCACATATCACAAATGCCACAGAAATATATTGTATTACATCTGTGTGTCATACACAATTACATCATCCTCTACCATATTGTAAAATAGTGCCTGCTTAGTGAACTACATGAACTGGAAAACAAGTGATACTAAACATGAATTGTCAGTTGTACAATTCATTTTTAAAAATATTACCTGTTCATTCACTGATAAATAGACAATTTCTCTATAAAAATGTTGAGT